TTGTCTGCACTTCCCTGTGCAAAACTATGAAGAAATACCTGGTCTGCTCTGCATAAGCTGGAAAGATTAAACTCAGTTATGTCTGCCAGCCAAGATAGCTAAGATCCAACTCGGCATTCACCAGCATAGAGTAGTTCTTCCAAAAGACTACTGGAAAGCAGCAAGCAGAGCCTGAGATTCTGATAGCGTTTATATACTGCATTTATACCTGCCTTGTACCTGGCAAGGAATGTAAAGAAAAAAAGTCTGATCTTACAGGGTCCTTGAAGATGCAAGATTATTTGGGCTCACCCATGCTTGAAAGGATTTTTAGGTTGTTTGCTTACATATTAAATAGTATGGAACGCTTAACCTTAAAGCTGTGTTACAACTGCTGCATCAGGCACTTTCCCTCCTGGGTAATCAGCAATCCTTGCTAGTCAGATAGCTCTGCCACATGAGTCCAAATGTTGGCATCTGACCATCTATGCCACTGGAGGGTTAATGTAGTCCCTGGGCCAGCTAGCATTCACCTGGAATATTTGGGCATGGCTTAGAAATTGATGTAATTGAGAACTGAGCTATGGGAGCCAAGCTGTGCTGTTCACAGCAACCTTGGATGATCCCAGTGATCTCCATCCTGTTGTTTCTCCATTTAGTCTTTTTTTTTTTTTTTTTTTATAATGTGTGCCAGATACTGGAACCTGACAACTGCTAGCCCAGACCAGGAATGTTTGGATGCTACTGTACAGGGAAGTGATAGGCAGGTCTGGTCAGTACTTAGAGTGGAGGAAGACTTACATCAGGCTGTTTGTTCTGCATTGACGCAGCTTACAGCTCTACTTCACAAATTGCAGCTTCAGCACTTGGCTGCCTCCCCCTGCGTGAGTGAACAGGACAGCACTGCTGTCCTGCAGTGACTTCAAGATGCTTCAATTCAGATACCTAGGAGGAATGCTCTGTACAGGACTCTAAGTCCTTGTGAGGCAAAGAGTACTTGGATGGGATGGAATCTGTTTAATTCAGCCCCTCTGTCCAATATTGAATAATACTGGAGTGGAGGAGGCAAGTGCTTTCACTTTGCTTGATGTTTAATCTTTCCTTTAAGCTTTGCCAGATACTGACCCAGGCCTTAAAGCACCAGATGGTAGGTAAGAGAAAGAGGACCAAAAAAGCAGTTGTAGTCAAACTCATTTTTGTACCCACAGCAATAGTAAAGCAACACTTCTCTTCAGACTGGGTGGTTTGTTCCCATAGCTCCCTCACCTTTTATAAGCTTAGGAGCTATTTGAGAGAGAGAAATCTGTGATTTGTTAGATCTGTAGTGGGATGAGGAATATGTGATTAGAGGGAATCTGGAGGAAGAGGAACATTGGCATGTACAGTTCTGCAAGAAGTGGGGAGGGTTTGGGATGAAAGAAACTGCTGAGCAACTGCATGTCCAGCATGTTGCAGTGGCACAGTGTACAGTCAGACTGAAGAGTTGCGAGCAGTATTCAGTCGCTGGTAATGGGCATTTGCAAAGGGAAATAGGCAAAAACAGGGCATGCACGGATACGATGGTACTTTTGGTATGCTCTCACAGCCTACACTGAACGTTGCTGCAGAATTTAAATTAGAGTGATCTTTGCATTATAATAATTTTAGATGGGAATTTCTTCTGTTCAGCTACAAACTTCTTGGTGGCTGTGATTTCATGTGACACTGAACTCCCCACTGTAGTTACATGGGTGCAGAAGTAGCTCTTCTGAGCTTGCTATTTACCAGGTCCATCTGGTCCATTTAGAAAAAGGGGTGTACAGTTATTCCCTAGTTCTCTCCATGGTGCTTCTGTGGCTTTGTAGAACTGTATTATGTTCCTTGATTGTCTCTTGGCCATGTTGAGGATCCCTAGTCAACTTAGTGAAATCCACCTCTTGAGCATCCTTGTTATGCTTTTCTATGCAGCTTCCTATTCTGTCTTTTTGTAAGTGGAGAATTAGACCTGCACATGGTGTTGAAAAGGCTGGCCCAACGTGGGTCTATAAAACAGTACAGTAATCTGCTGGCTCGTTCCTTATCCTTCCTGAATACCTCCTAACACTTTTCTCTTTTGCTGCTAAGCAAAGGGCACATATAGTTCCTTGTAACAAGTCTCAGCATCTGTTTTCTGAGTGATAGTAGCTTGAGATGGCTTTGAGTTTGCATTCCCCATACACAGAGAAGCAATTTTGCTGTTCTGTGAGTGTGCTAAAATAGAGTGCTCTCCTACTCCACATCTCTCAATATTTGCATGTCTTAATCTGTGGCATGCTGTGAAAGACACTGAATTCTACAGTGATAGCTCTTGAGCCCATGACTGATAAATTACTTAAAAACTTGTAATTTAAATTAGAAAAAAGCTAAAGGTATTAGTGGAATGTGAACTAATGTACCTTTTGCAGTTTCTGTTGTGCCTTTCTTTCTTGATGTTAGCTCTGGAATGTTTGATTGGGGGCAGGATGTACCTGTGTGTGTGTGTGGAGGACACGTTGAATGTAAAGAAAAAAAAGTATTTAGTGTTGGACAGAAGGAATGAAACACATGCTTCAAATAATTAACAGTCCAGTATTGTTTCACTGGCACTCTTATAGCAGAGAAGCAGAAAGCAAACGGGAGAAAGTTCACAAACGTTGTTTCAAGGCTTTCAACATATACGTATGTAAACATATACGTATACACACACACACACACACACACACACACACACATTAAATCAGAAGGTTCTCCAAGAGTGTCTGTTCAGTAACAGGTGTAGAACAGGCAACTTACAGCTAGGAGTGATATTTGCTGTATGACTGGTGGTTGACCCCTCTAATTGTAGCCAGTGTATTCTGGAGCTTGCTTTTAAACAATTATTTGGATAAGCCTCAATTTTATGTGCGCGCAGAAGATAATGTTGTGCCATCTTAATAAGCATTGTAGAAGCTGAAGGCAAGAAACCCACTGCAGCTGAGTCCTGGGTTTTTCAGTAGCTAAAAGCCAAAAAATAGTTTTAATCATATGGTCAAGTTTATTTTTCAATGCTTCGTCCATACAACTCTGTATTTGACCCCCTTATGGTCACAGGTTGCAGTACTGGGGAGGGTCAGCTCTCCAGCTGTGACTTCAGAGGAGCTCTGCTGCAGTTGCAGTTGCTCTAGAAGCAAGGACGGGGAGCTTGTATCTCAGTAACAGTTAGGAGTTCTCACAATCTGTTTATAGTGAGAAGTCAAAGTCTTCATCCTAGTGATACTGAGGCTAATACATGGGCTATATTTATAGGAACTGCCTGTCAGACTCTTTCTCCTTTCTGTGTAAAATAAATAAATAATAATAAAAAAAAATAATAATAATAATAAAAAAATCACCCTGTCAAGTAGCTGTAACTGGCTCTTGGTCAGCTAGGATTTTAAGTAGGGGTGCAAATCTGTGCTTGTCCTAACCATTTTTAAATTTCCATTTTAAGAAGGAAAAGGAAAAAGCATAAAGGTGTGTTTTTCCTCTAAAATGATCCCGACAATGTGCATTTCTTTCTCGGCAGTCTGCCATTTGTAGTTAGTCCGCTCCACTGTCAGAAAATTTTACTAGTCCATTCAGTGAATTAATCCATTTATGAAATATAGATATGCCTCTGGCTCACGTGTAAACACCTCAGCTTCTGGAAACATCTGACAATAAAATGCTTGGATGCAGTATTAGTGGAAAAAAATGGTCTATCAATTTGTTTTTGTAGGTACCTATCAGTATTACCAATCTGAAAGCTGTCTTTTTAAAAGCTCTTCATTTCTGAAGGGCACAAAATATTTTTATAAAGAATGTAATGAAATCACAGAATGCCTTGGGTTGAAAGGGACCATTTCCAACCCCTTGCTGTGAGCAAGGCTGACCCCAGCCAGCTTAGACTGCCCAGGTGCCATCCAGCCTGGCCTGTAACACCCTCAGGGATGGGGTATCCACAGCTCTGGGCAGCTGTGCCAGTGCCTCACTGCCTTCTGAGTAAAATATTTCTTCCTAAAATGTAACTGAAATCTATCCTGCTTTAGCTTACAACCATTCCCCCTTCACCTATCACCTATCAGATCTTGTAAAGTTGTTCTCCCTCCTGCTTATAAGCTCCCTTTCGGTATATGATTAACAGCACAGCAACTTTTCACTAAAAAAAAAATATTTCTTTTTACTGAATGTTTTCAGACAGGTTTATTTTGGACAGTTTTGTTTGTTTGTTTTAATGTGTGGAGTGGTAAAGGTTTTAATGAGTTCCTGTGGCATCAAGAGCTTGAAGAGATTTTGCTCCTGTATCGCTGGATAGCAGCTTTGGTTTGCGTACGTACACAGCAGCTTGTGAATATCTCATGACAGTGAATTTGTCTGCTGTTTCTGCTTGCTCCTCTGTATGGTTTTGAGGTGGTTTGGTGTACTGGAGATGCTGAATGTGACGGGCTGGGCTGTGAGGCAGTAGTTCTTTGTCGATGTGATGCCTTGGAGGAAGTGAGTAACACCTAGCGTGCCTTCCTGCCTGTATTTTGTCTTTTTCTGGAGTTGCAGGTCTGGCAGAGTTTATGGGGTTGGCTTCTGTAAGGTTTGCGAGCTAGGGCTGTCGGGAACTGCAATTCAGGAGGCTCCCACATCAGGGACGTACATCTGACAACGCCCTAAACGTGGCTAGATGTGCTTTCCGTGTCAGCGTTAGGAACATTAGAGGAACATTAGGAAGTAAAACGCGAAATGAGCACACGCTCTGAGGGGCTCGGTGACGCTTCATTTCACGGCTTCGCCTCTACGAATAGCGGCGGTGCCCGCGGGGCTCCTCTCGGGGAGCTCCCGGCTCTGAGGAACGCCCGTTGGAGGAGCGGGTGGAAGAGCGCGCCCGAGGAGGTTGAAGGAGGGCCAGAGGCGATGCGGTGATGCGGGGACAGCCGCCTGAGGGGGACGGACCGGTGCCCTCCTGAGGCGGGGCGGCTCCCGGTCGCGCTCCTGAGGGGCCGGAGCGCGCCGCCTCCCCGTTGGCCGCCGTGGGCTGGATGCCGGGCTGCGGGCTGGCCGGCAGCCACACAAAGCTCCGCTCTTCCCTCCCTTTGTCTGCGTGGCTTTGTCTTCTCCGTCCCCCGCCGCGGGCCGGGACTCCCCGCCTCCGGCCGCGGCGCTCCCCTTTGTGCCACCTGCGCACCGTGGGAACGGCCGCTCACCCAATCGTGTCCCGCCCGGCGCGGCGCTCCGTCACGCACCGCCTTTTTCCACTATTTTTATTTTATTTTATTTTTTTCCTTTTTTCTGAGCGGTTTCCGCACAGGTGCAAAGGAGGTGCGGATGACGCCGGGAGCGCCCCGCCGACCCCCGCCTCGGCGCGTACCGCCGCCGCCGCCTCCCCTCTCGGCAGCGCGCAGTCTACGCGTGCGCGAGCCCCGCGTGCGCCCGCCTCGGCGGGAGGGGGCGGTGCTCCGCGGGGCGCGCGGGGGAGGGAGGGGACGGCGGGGCGGGAGCGCGCGCGCGCGGGCAGCCCGGCGGGCGGGGCGAGGCGATAACCCTTGCGGAGCTGCCTGGGAGACCCCGGGTTTGGGGCTGCGCCAGCGCGCGCGGCGCCTCCTCCTCGCTTCCCCCCCCACCCTCCCCCCCCCGCCCCCCCGAGCCGAGTGGAAGGGGCTGGGGTTGGTGCCAGCAGCGGCGTGAGCGCTCGAGCGGCCGCCATTTTACGCCAGCTCCAGCATACTGTCCGGACACGCCGAGGGAGCGGAGAAGGGGGGCAGCTCCTCAGCACGCCGAGCCGCCAGCCGCGCCCCGAGCCCCTTCGCACGGCGTTTCACCCCCGCAGCCGCAGGTCAGCGCCGGGCGGGGGCT